AAATCATAACTATTTCTAGTTTGAAAGGGCAGAAACCAAAACTAAGAGAAGTAAAGTAACATAAAAAATTAGACAACTAGGGGGCACCTGGGTGGCTCAGTTGGTTAAGCAACTGCCTTTAGTTCAGGTCATGATCCTGGAGTCCTGGGATTGAGTCCCATATCAGGCTCCCTGGTCAGTGGGGAGCCTGCTTCTCCCTTTGACCCTATCTCTTTTTGTGCTCTCTCCCTCTCACACTCTCTCTATCTCAAATAAATAGATAGATAGATAGATAGATAGATAGATAAACAGACAGGAAGTGGTAGAGCCAGATCTATATATCTCGAAAACCTATCTTTTTCTCCTATACTAGAGGTTGTCACACAGGCCAAATCTGGCCCACAAGCTGAAAATGTTTTTTACATTTTTATTTTTAAAAATTTTTAAAGATTTTATTAATTTATTCATCAGAAAGAGAAAGAGAGCACAAGCAGGGGAAGCCATAGGCAGAGGGAGAAGAAGGCTCCCTGCTAAGCAAGGAGCCTGATGAAGGACTCAATCCCAAAACCCTGGGATCATGACCTGAGCAGAAGGCAGATGCTTGAACGACTGAGCCACCCAGGCATCACATTTTTACACTTTCAAATAGTTGAATAAAACCAAAAGAAGAATAATACTTCATGACATGAAAATTACATACAATTCCAATTTCATGTCCATAAAGAAAGTTTTGTTGGAACACAGTCATGCCCATTTGTTACTCATTGTTACTACTGTTATACTCTAACAGAAGAGTTGAGTAATTGCAACTGACACCATGTGGCCCACCCACCTGAAATATTAATCCTCTGCAGCAAGTTTTCCAACCCCTGTCCTACACTGGCCAGTGAGCACAGACTCGATCATGTGTATACTTAATTGGATATTGATGTATTAGTTTCCTAGGGCTGCCATAACAAAGTACTACAAACTGGGTAGCTTAAAACAACAGGAATGTATCTTCTCACAGTTTTGGAGGTTAGGAGCCTGACAGCAGGGTTAGTTCCTTCTGAAAATTCTGAGGAAGAATCTGTTCCATGCCTCTCTCCTAGTTTCCGGTGGTTTGTGAGCAATCTTTCCCACTCGCTCTTTGCCCTGCTGCTGTGTAACTCCAATTCTGTCTTCACATGGCCAATTTTTCTAAGGATATTAAGGATACCAGTCAAGCTGGATTAGGGGCCCACTCTACTCTAGCATCTCATCTAAACTAATTACATCAGCAAAGACTGTATTTCCAAATAAGCAAATATATCTCTTTTTTGGGGGGGGGTGTAGGTAATTCAACCCATAACACTTAATACAATAAATAAATATGTAGTGAGCAAGCAAATAAATTAGCAAAAAATCTATAATCTATAATCCTATGTCTTTATTCAGTCTGTTTTCTCCATCTCTGATGAGACCACAAGCTGTGCAGGAAGTATTTATAGGACTTCTTCAGATCAATATTCTCAGCCCTACTTTCAACCTTCATCTTACCTAATTTCTCAGATCCTGATGTAGGGAGCAAAATTTTGCCACTCCATGATATGCTTCTGGCACACTGATTATTTTAAGCTTGTAATTAATGAGAAATTGTAGGCACATGAGAAGCTCTGTGAACCAAGTAGAAGTTACACTTTTCTGAGACATTTACATTTATAATGGAATCTCCATTTGTAAATGTATACCAGAAAGAGGGGAATGACTTAATCTCTAGGAAGCCTTATCAATGAAGAAGGCAATGACTTAAATCTGCATAACAATCATGTCCTTGTTTACAGTGCTTTTTCTTGAAAATTTCCAATAACTGCCCTCTGCCACACCCAGCATCTTCCATCTTTGAAGATGGTATTTAAGGTGATGGATTGGGCCATTTCAAGGAGTTACTCAGCTTTCCTAGGTCTCTCACATGTATACAGCAGGAATGCATGTTATTAAACCATTGATTTTTTTCCTATTAGTCTGTCTCACATCAACTTAATTCTTAGACCAGGCAGAAGAATTTTGAATGGTTGAGAATTTTTTTCCTCACAACACCAGGAACATCTTTGATGTCCAGTGGACTCTGCCTTCAAACTCCTTTGTTCTAGTATCTATAACTCAAGATCAAGCAATGCTGTAGGAGATTTTTACTTCATACATTCTGAATTTGGGGATGTGCATCAAGATGGGGTTCCTTACTTCATTCCACCTAAATCCCATTTTTTTTTAAAGATTTCATTTATTTATTTGACAGAGAGAAATCACAAGTAGGCAGAGAAGCAGGCAGAGAGAGAGGAGGAAGCAGGCTCCCTGCTGAGCAGAAAGCCCGATGTGGGGCTCGAACCCAGGACCTGGGATCATGACCTGAGCCGAAGGCAGTGGCTTAACCCACTGAGCCACCCAGGCGCCCCCCTAAATCCCATTTTTATCTTGAATATGTATCTTTGTATTTTTATATGTATATATATACTTGATAATAAAGTAATACTTTACTAGAAATCAGAGGCTATCAAGCACTTTATTGTTCCACTTGAATTTTCAACAAAGGCCTTTTGTTATCTAAAAGCATTTTGGTATGCCTTCCATTCCTGGCACCAGTATTGCAGACTGTATTGTACCAATAACTGTTGCATGCATACTTAACTCTTTAATACACAGAAACAATTTTCATCTTCAAAGCACTGCTTCCTGACTTAATTAGCCTTTCTAATTTTCTATGAAGTAAGTGTGCTATCCTCTTTTGTAATTTACATTAAAGGAAAGCGAGGTAACAAGAGGAAATCACTTATAGAGCATTGGCAGATCATTCTTGATGTGTTAGGAGCTAGTTAAAGTGGCCTGAGTCATGAGATAGCAAGTAGGATATTATTGGTATCAGGGGCAACCTCATAGAATTCCAAGCATTTCTTACTAGGACCTTCTACTCATTGCATACCACTATCCAGCAGAGAGGGGCTACTTAATAAATTTATATTAAATTTATATTAGTAATTTGTAAAATGACTTCCTGGTACTGCCTACATCTTCTCTGCTATTTCCCTACTTCAATCTCTGACACAACCATACAGAGATTGCAGTAATTGTGTTCCATGTCCAAAGTGCCTTCAAAGCCTTAGCATATAAGAGAAAACACCCAACCCACTTTCTGCTGAAGTTACAATCCTAGGTGGTCATGATCCCTTTATTCCTGCAGCTGTCATTCCTCATATGCCCTCTGGCTACAGGTAATCAGATCACAGGCAGGAGCATGACTAAAGGGTAAACTATGATGTGGTCTACCACACACAGAAAAAAAAGAAAAAATGACTATCCAAACAGGAATAGGTTGAGCCAACCTGTTTCTTGTTCTTAGAAATCTGAACTGAAAAACAGTGCAGGGAATGACATTGTTAATAGGAGCTACACAGGCTACACAGAGAACCCATGAACAGCTAAGAGTTATGAGATTCATGAGAAAGCAGAAATTATAAGTGGAGAACAGTAGAAATACATGGAACTAAAGATGCCCCTCTCATTCATTTCATGTTTCAGATTTTAGCACCTGAATCCCTACGTTGCTTTCTAGCCATATGCTTGTTATTAATTTGGCAATTTCAAAGTTCACATGGATGATTCTTCTACACCCTGACTTCTTAATTCCTTGATCTTCTCACTTCCAATGGTCTTGGCGTCCATTCCATCTTGTCTACCCATTGCACAATACTACCCTTAAAGTTGTTATCCCAATAACTGATCCACTACAAAGACTGAACTAAAACAAACTACCCAGCATGGGCTATTACAATAGTTATTTCAAAAAAAAATGATGATTGCTCCAACTAGTAGAAGAAATGGTTATAAGAGTGACAAAGTTTGGATTAGTTTATAATCTTTGGTGACATAGTATAACTTGGGATATGGTTTGATAGTAAAGCCAAAAGGATTTGCTGATGCACTGGATGGTGGCAAGGGTGAGGAGAGTAATCCAAGATGACAACACAGTTGTCCTGAGCAACTGGGTGAATGCCATTTACTGACATGAAGAAATAGTTCTTGGGAAGAATTTCAGAATTCAGTTTTGGAAAAGAGGAAATGTCAAGTAGGCAATAGCATATATGAGTGTGAAGCTCAAAAGGGATGTGAAAGCCACAGATGTAAGTTTGGCAAACAATAGCATACAGAGAATAGTTCAATCTGTAGATCTGAAATCACTGAAGTTGTGACGGTAGATATCAAAGAGAGGAGAACCAAGCTCTAAGCTCTGGAGCACTCCAACTTTAATCCTTTAGGAAGAGGAAGAAGAACCAGAGAGGGATATGTATGAGTATCTAGTCATTTAAGGAGGAATATAAGGCATGGATCAAAGGATATAGCCATAAAAACACAAGTAGTAAAAGGAAAAACAAGTCATTTTATGTTTTCTGGGTCAGCTCACCAGTCAGTATATTAATCAGTGTATATTGGTATATTAATAAAATCATCATAACTGAATAATTGAATAGGTTTGTGTCAACAGAGCTTCCAAAACAAAACACACACACACACAAATACACACACACACAGACTAAACAACAACAACAACAACAACTACAACACACTTGTCATACCTGTTTGGTTTCATAAAGATAATATTTAGAGATAAACTAAGAGCAGCAGTAATATAACTCATGTCCTCAGTCTTATTTTATCTTATCTTTGACCTTTACCCCAAGTAAGGTTATTTATAACTAGGTGTTTTTCAAGAAAATATAAACTTCTAGTATACTTTAATGACCTCATCTACTTCAATTTCCCTAAAAACTGTCCCTTTTCCTTCCAAATCAAGATTTAGTGCTCCTTCTCCTTGCAGCTGAAACATTCTATGTCCCTAGTAAGGCATTATGAAATTTCATTACAGTATGCTTACATGTTCCTCTCTTCACCATAATGTATACTAAAAAATAGGAACTATGCTATATGCATCTCCATACTTACAGTTTTTAGCCCAGTGCCTAAACCAGTGCGCTCATTTATCAAACAAACATGTATTGAACACTTACAAACTCCATGTTCAGGAAACTCCATTGCTCACAAGTTTTCCTTTTTTTTTCCCCCTCAGTTCAAGTTTAATAGAAACAACAAAAGATCAAAAGTGATGTCCTACTGCTGTACATCACAGTTGGCCTGTCCCCTAACACAGCTCAGGCCATTCTCCCTAGAGGAAGGCTTCCAGGCTTCCAGCCAGCTGTGCACACTTCCCCATGCTTGTCAGTGAACTGGAAGGCCTGAGCCAGTTGCAGAGTCTCAACCACAGAGCGGCCGACAGGTAGATCATTTACAGTGATCTGCCTAAGGATACCTTTATCATCAATGATAAAGAGGCCCCTGAACGAGATGCCTTCATCAGCTTTTAAGACTCCATAGTCCTGGGGCGCCTGGGTGGCTCAGTGGGTTAAAGCCTCTGCCTTTGGCTAGGGTCATGATCCCAGAGTCCTGGGATCGAGCCCCACATTGGGCTCTCTGCTTGGTGGGGAGCCTGCTTCCTCCTCTCTCTCTGCCTGCCTCTATTCCTACTTGTGATCTCTGTCTGTCAAATAAATAAATAAAATCTTAAAAAAAAAAAAGACTCCATAGTCTTGAGCAATGGTACGCTTGGCGTCTAATACCAAGGGAATATTCATGGGTCCCAGTCTTCCTTGTTTGTTGGGTGTGTTGATCCATGCCAGGTGACAGAAATGAGAATCCACAGAAGCATCAATCACTTGACAGTTGAGCTTCTTAAATTCTGCCCTGTCACTGAAAGCAATGATCTCCGTGGGACACACAAAGGTGAAGTCAAGAGGGTAAAAGAAGAACACAACGTATTTTCCTTTGTAGTCAAATAGGCTGAGGTCTTTGAACCGGCCATCTGGCATAACAGCCGTGGCTTTGAAGTTGGGGGCAGGATGCCCAATTTTGGCATTTCCTGAAGACATCTTGTTATTGGCAGCTCTACCAGCAAAAACTCAGGAGACAAGCCAGGAAGAAGACCACAGGTTTTCCTTTGTAATAAGCTGGGTGGTGGTGGGGAAGCCAATAATTTCGCAGATGGAATGCTGTACCAGCCCTTCCAAATAAAATGAAGGCAAATTTAGAAGACAGCTGCATTATATACTGAAAAGGAGGTTAGGATTTTTGACTTCTATTTCTCCATGTCTCTAAAAGTTATGACTCAGGGCTAAATACTTCTCCAAATTGAAGAGTTTAGATTAAAATGCTATGATTATTTTAGCAATTAACTTATCCTGCGTGTTAATTGTGACTTCCAATACTTCATGACCCTATCTGAAAAATGAGAAGGGTTTTCATTCTACACCAGCATTAAAATGTGAGAAAATTATTGTGGAGCCACAGATTTACAAGGATATGCAGGACATATATAGAAGCAGTGCACTTCCCTGTGGCAGACTGTAGGAGGCAAAGTGCTCCACAACAGTCCTTCTGATGTTACAGCTCCTCATTTATGGGCTCGTTTTTCAGGGAATCAGACTCTTTCATCTCAACTTCTCAAGTTGCAATTTATTCTGCCTCCATAGTAAGATAAAAGGCAAGAGCAGCAAGCCATTTATATTAGGGAAACTTCTTGATATTTCCTGCTTTTATGTTTAAATGGAAATTTTGTATATTGGCTTTCCATCATATATTTTGCTCTTATTTTATATAGTTAATTAGATTACAATATTTCACATTGAGACACATATTAATGAATGATTTAAAAGATCATCTTAATTAAAAAAAACAAGTGTTAGATATAGGAGATTGTAGGTTCTCTTATAGAGATTCTTTTCTTTATGTAAGGTTAACTAAATGGTTAACTAAAATCTATATACTTAATTTTAGCTAATTATTTCAATTTCTTTTCTATCTGAGCTAATAAATGCATCAACAATGACTGCATTGAATTTTACTTGATTTTTTTGTAGACATGCTAGAGGGATGGAAAGGGTAAAGGAGAATTTTGAAATGTATTGCCAATTGTGAAAACACTGCAAAAAAAAAAAAAAAAGAAAAGAAAAGAAAATGAAGGACTAGGTGGACAGCGTATCTTTTTCATCATTTAAAAAAATCCAAAAACAAAACCGAAAGATCATTTACTTGTCAGTTCTATTCCCCATAGACCTTATAATGGGAACCAATGAGAAAATGAGATTTGTTTTATAGGTTCTGATTTTGAAAGTACTTTTTTACTATGTAGATATTCAACAGCAAGTATGTTAACTATAATTCTTCCATCAGTTCTCAATGGTAGTAGGGTTTTTTCCCTGTATCCATACATAGGTACTCAGTTAAGTCATTTTTGGATCTGAGATCCTGCACACTTCAAGCACTATAATAAAGGCAGAAAAGGAGGCCTGGGATGCCTTCTGTGGATGAAGAGTTTATGATTAATTTCTCTTTATACTTCTTCAGTTCCTGGAACTGCTAACGACTATGTAGAACCATATCCTCTGAAGTTACACATTGCTGGTCATTGTTATGCTACTTGCACAACCAAGTAAACACATGAATTACATGTACACTAACTTCTTCTGAGTTTGTTCTTAATTGAGTTCTTGTAAAAGTCACTTTAAATTTATAATGATGACTGACCTCTGGGGAACGCAACTGTCAAGACACAAAGAAGGCTGTCCAGGGACTGAGAGAAAGACACGCCTTCATTATGCAAATATTGTGTTTTCTAGATATGGATATTCAATTTTTCCTTTATTGCCTAAAAATACATAAATATTCTAATTGCAGCTTTTATGCAGAAGACACCCAAGAGCTTGTATCCTGGTGGTAAAAGGACCCTGAAGAATATTAAGTAGAGAGATACATGTAAAGAATAATACATATTTTAAAAACATACTATAATAGTCAGGGGCTTTCCAGGCTTCTCTCCTCTACTTCAATACTCCAACAGGGGTATTAGGATAGAGTAAAGAAAGCTGAGACTCTTAGCTGAGAGCTCCAGGAAACTCAAAGCCAGAGCCCGTGTTCTATTTTTTTCTAGGGCCTCTTAGATCTGTGTGCAATTGGCAACCTATTTTGAATCCCCCAGATAGGTCTTTTGTATCTGTCTAGACCTGCTTGCATTGGAAATGTTCCTCAGGAACCACTCTTAGCTTACTCAAATCCTTGAGGTCATGCTAGAATGGAATTCACACTAAGCTGTAATGGTAAAGTACAGGAAATACACACATTAGAAAACTAAAAGAGTTGAAAAACTGAAATAACTCTTCACAGTGACAAGAATCAGGAACAAGGAAGAATGAGAGTAGGTGGGCATATTGACTAGAAACAATTTCATGAATACACAATTAGCAACAGCTCCAAACAGACACAATACTGTCTCCTTTAGGGAATCCTGATAAGCGGGTAATACATAGGCAGAAGACCTGTGGAGCTAGAGTGTGCTCGACCCCCATCCTCAGTATTTACTAGTTTGAGTAAGTTACTAAACTTCCTTGAGCCCCAGTTTTTCATCTATATAACACTATGCATCTGCAGAATGTAGAATGATATCCCCCCAAATATGTCATGCCGAAATCCCCAAAGCCAGGGAATATGTTACTTTACATGGCAGAGGGGACACTGCAGACATGATTAAGTTAATGGCTTTTAAGACATGAGATCATCCTGGATTATCTGGGTGGGTTCCATGTAATTCTATAGGTTCTGACAAGTAGAGAGTTGTGCTCAGAGAGAGAGAGAGAGAATCAGAGATGGCACCATGAGAAGGACTCAGCCCACCATTGCTGGCTTTGAAGATGGAGGAAGGGGCCCAAAATCCAAGGAATGTGTGTGATCTCTAGAACCTAGAAAAAGTGAAGAAACTAATTATCCCCTAGAGCCTCCAGAAAGAATGTAGCCTTGTCAATACCTTGATTTAAGATGAGTGGCCCATTTAAGACTTCTGACCTCCAGAACTGAAAGCTAATAAACTTGTGTTATTTACTTCTGTGGCAATTCATTTTGTGGTAATTTGTTATAGCAGCCATAGGAAATAGTACTTCATGGAGTCGTTGTGAGGATTAAGTAGGTAATCATATGTAAAACACTTAGAATGATATCTGCCACATAGTGTGTATCATTTAAGTACCAATTACATTATTATTGTTGTTATCATTATTATCCTAAGAAGAATAAGACATTAACTACTAGGGAAGTAGGGGAAATGGATATGAACACAACTAATAAAAACACATCAAACAGAATCAAGACTTGTATTAAAAATGTGAAATATCAGAAGTAGGAATCACTAAGTTATGGAGACACCATTGGAAGAAAACTTAAGGTAAAGTGTGGAACTTGATCATTTAAAGGGGAGAGAGCTCAAGCAGAGGGAGAAGTCAAAGCATGTGAAAGTAAAATAGCCAGGAAATTGGTGTGGCTTCCCTTTCATACCCCATAAATCCTTTCTCCAATTTTATCTCTCAACATCTGTGGAACTATGTGGAAAAACAATATATTATGTAGACAACATCATACTGCTGAAATTCAATACTATTCCAGGAAAAACTAAAAGCTCCTGCCTGGTTTCTCCTGGACTTTGCTACTGACATATTTTCCCTTTGCTACTTTGATCTATGTCCTTTCAATGTAATAAACTTTAACTGTGAAGACAACAGCCTCTGAGTTTTAGGAGTCGTTCTAGTGATGGAATTAACATGTTAGAAGGTGGTTTGGGGGACCTCCAGCACAGTCTCTTCAACCCATAAAATTATAAGAGGGAATAAAAAAGTTGTAATGTACATGCAAAAATATGTAATGTTGAAATGAACCGTACACGCTGAAATACATTAGTTAGTCTTCTTTAGGCTAATATGAGGACATCCCATAAAGTCTGTTGCCCGCTGATGAGAAGCCTTGACTCAGCAGACTGGGCTCAGAGGGTCTATGTCCCTGCCTAACTTGTCACCCCGTATGTATTTCAGTTTCCATGGGACAATCTTCTAGACATCAGTTTTGTTTGTACACACGCCAACTCAATAATGTCCTCCTCCCTACATAAAACCTAGCAATATATTGAACTGTCCAACCCAAATGCTCATATTTTCTCAAGCCTGCTTACTGTCATTGACCGTCACTCATACTATCTAGGCTGTACATATCTGTACCTAGCAGTTGGAAGTCCACCTTCTGAAAAGAGAAGTCTGGAGTTGGCAGCTTTATAATTTATCTACCTGATTTCCAGCTCTCACAGCGGCAGCCCTTATGAAGGACATAATTGGGATATCTCTTCCAAGTTAATAGCTCTGCCTAACACCCAAGGAAGAATGAGTCCTTGTTAATATAACAAGCATTGCATGTCAGGCATCCTCTCCAAGCTCTGTCCATTACTAGACATTTCAAATGCAACCTTTTGTAACAGGTAGAAGCTTGGGTTTGGATACTTTGTTCTTGGTTTACCCTGCAAACAGCACATATAGCAGCAACCTCACACTAAGTACATGTTTGAAACAGCTCATTCCGATGCATCCAATACTTTACTCACAGGATGATTTTACCACAGAAGCATCCATCAACTGCTTTTCTATCAGACATGCACCTATATGCTCCTGCCTGTACCCAACTTCTACCCAATCATCCTGTGGATATTAGTTTGATTTCCTTTTCTGTTCTCTGTACAGTGATCAAGCTAAGGGCCTGGTTTTCAACTTTCTCCTCTCCTGAACTTGATGTCAATCATCCTCTCCCCCCGTTCCTATTTACTAGGCAATTGGAAGTCAGTTTTCCAAAGGAATCAGGCCTTATGTTGCCTACACAATGATTTACCCTGCTTTCATAGAAGTCTTAACAGAGGTGTACAAACCCAGACCCAAAGCCTTAGGGCCAAGCTTAGTCTCCTCTCACATTCTACCTCTACCCTCCACAGGCTCCAATCAGCCTTACCTCTAAGATTGATGATGCTCTACATTTTCCCCACAAGCCTAAAATATCTTACACCACAAATATATAAAATTAGCAGAATTCACAGCATATATTGGCTAATTGAGATGTTAGATCCAT